AAGGGGCACCTGCTGCGAACACAGAATTTGGAACTTAAACAAATGATGCTGCTATTTTCTCTCACTACGCATCATCAAACTGAGTGGGAGGCTGCCTGTCTGCTTTTGAAGTCCCCCTGCTTTCTTCCTTTGCAGTCTATGTCCGTGATGGTGACTGGTACAGAAAAATGCTAAGGGTGCTTCCTCCCTGACACCCTCCCCTACTCCTTTTGATCAAAAAAGAAAACCAGATCCCAAGGGAAGAGAGGAGTGGAAATCACAGTCACTAGCGCTTCCTTAGAAAACTAAGATATGTGGCTCATAATTCTGATCGGGGTCTGTCTTGGCCATTATGCGACTGAGGGAACAAGAATAAGTAGAGTCAGCAAGGCTGGGCGGTGGTGGCGCACGCCTTTAATCCCAGCACTCCGGAGGCAGAGGCAGGCGGATCTTTGTGAGTTCTAGGCCAGCCTAGTCTACAGAGCGAGTTCCAGGACAGTCAGGACTACATAAGAAACCCATCTGAAAACACAAGCAAAAAAAAAAAAAAAGAATAAGTAGGGTGATCCGATGGTGTCTGAGAAGGGGCCAACTTGGGAATACTTCCTGGAAGTGCATCACGGATGGCAGAACTGGCAGGTGAAGGAGCTGGTGAGGGTAAGACTGGGGTCTGCAGCTCTGCACGAAGCATGCATTCCTGCCACTGGGCCTTCTGAAGAGCCTCCTGGAAGGGCTGCCATGTACGACTACAACCCCACTCACTCTGGGACTTGTGTAATTCTGGCATGCTAAGTCTAGGGATCCCAGCCCCAGCCCAAGGCTAATACTTATCTCTTCATGCACTCTACCTGCCTTTTGTCAGTCATGCAGCCAACTGCTGGCAGAGGAGTGGGCCTGTGCGGGTCAAGATGTGTCCCAGGCAAGTCATGGGCGCCCCGTGGTCTTGCCACATAGGAAACTCCAGGCAGAGCAGCCTATTGCACCAATAAAGACTGATAACCAAAGAAGAAGTGTGCATTTTTGAAATTTACACTTTTCAACTGTGCATCTTGTCCTGGAGATTTTCCACTAGACCTTTCCTGCTTGCAGGAGTCTACTTGGCCCATGCGTGTGATGTCAAGGATCTAGTTCAGGTACTGCTGGCTCATCAGACCTGGAGGTTCCTTCAGGTTGCATTGTGTGTTAACGGTTGACATAAGAATAGATACGAAATCTCACCGGAGTCCAGAAGAGAGGACATGTGGTTCTTGAAGAAGAGGAAATAGATTAACAACTGGGACCATCTAAAATGGTTTATTTTGTTATTCCCCCTGAGTGACAATTTGGTCTCTCCCTCATTAGACTGGCTCAATCTTTGTCTTCTCCCAGCATCTCCCACCAGCAGTGGGACAGTCTAACTTGCATATCTATTTTTTTTTCTGTCAGTGACTCCAACTTAGGGGTACCCATGCCTTCTGCTTACTCATATCTTTGCTTTACTTGGGAACTCTTAGGGTTCCCCGCCAGACACAATTCTTCTACCTTATAGAAAACTCTACTAGAGGCCCTGTTTTGATATAGCCGATATCTTGCAAATATCATGCAGAGTCTCTTCCAGTCTGTAGACTTCCTGCTTGGGTGTCCCTTAGCAAGGCTTAGGGACAATCTCAGATAAACATGGGCTGGCCTTACTTGATGGTGAAGTAAAACAGAAAACAAAAAACCAAGATCTGGAGTAATAACTCAATAAGATGCTTGCCTTTCAACCAGGAGGACCTGAGATTGATCCCCCAGAACCCAGGTGAAAAAAAGTCCTGTGTGTTAGTGTGAGTTTGAAATCTCAACTTCGGGGAAGAAGAGCCAACCTAGCCTACTTGGCAAATTCTAGGCCAAGTAAGAGACACACACACTCACACTCACACACAAACACACACTCACACACACCTGCCCATATATACACATATACCCTCCTCCTCCAAAAATATATAAAAAGAGAGAAAAAAACATTTTATGTTACTCGACAAAAACCTAAAAGTGCCACTGATATATGGCATCTTGGAACCACCCCTTAGCATGGTCCCTACCACATGTGTGGCAACCGCATGGCCTGCAGTTTGCTGGCCTGAAAGCAACAGCAAGATACTCACTATTTGCTGCCATTTTGTTAAAAAAAAAATCTTTGCTCTAGACCATGAATACTAAAATCTGTTGAAGGAAGTGGTGGGAGCTGCATTATTTAAACTCTTTCAAAGCTGCCTGAATGGAGTACTTCACCCGGCCCCATGGAGAACAGACTGGTGCTGACCCTCAGGGCATCCATATGATGACCTCAGAGCTTTTTTCTTTGCGTCTGTTTTCTATGAAGGAGAAAGGCTGGAGCTGAATCAATGAAACAAAGAAGTAAGTTCATCCCCTCTCCCGCCCCAAGCCCTTTAATCTTCAGTGGAGTCCCGATTCCAGATCGCTTCCACCAGAGAAGTTTTAAAAGCATCCGCATGGAATGTCACCGTAAAATATGATAAGATCATCCTCCGCCTTTAAAGGCAGAACTCATTTCCTAATGCTTTTCGAGTTTCCATTTCTTCTTCCGTAATTACCACCTATGTCATCAGGAATGGACTCTAAATAATTCCCCCAATTCCCACTGGTGCCTCAAAATGCCCTCCATCCTCCAGCAGTCAAACCAAGCACAGCGTTTCATCGCAGGCCTCTGGCAGCCCCTGTGATCAGGCGAGGCTTGTTTGCTCTTTGGGATCCAAGTAATTACCTGTCAGCTTTTCAGGCAACAGGCAGACTGCAGAAGAGGACCAGCACAAGGAAGCAGGCATTTTCTGCGGGACAGGGGGCTTTGCCTCCTTTCCTCTTGCTGTTTGTTCTTTCTTTAGAAAGCAGATAAGGAGGTCTTATTGAGAAGGAGTGTGTGCATTAGCTACCATGGTAACTTATGTTACTATTGGCACTGTCCAGGCCAATTAAATTCGTTTCACATTGCTCTTGTTCTTTCTCTGGTCTGAAAAAGCCACTCAAGTCAGAGGCCGATAAGTGTCTTCAGAGCACTAAGGAGGCAGGCTTGGATGTCCCTCCACACTCTCCAGGAAACCTTACTGCCCACTGTGTGTTCACACTCCCCTCCCCCAAGCCTCTGGGAGGACCCTGGCCTCAAACTGTGTCCTGTTCTGGGCAGGGGCCTGCTTTGCTACTATCTGCCTCTGCACCTGCCCTGTACACTCTGCAGTTAGATTTTGAGCCTCCCTTGTTTGGTTCTTTGAAAAATCTCCTTTTCCAGACTTTTGCCCAGGTCTGTGGTCCCAGGTCTCCTATCTCTTTAGTGCTGATGCTGTCTGTCTGTGTGATCTCTTCATTTACCCTGTTCCGTAGCACATGCTGTCTTTGGTTCAGGGTTACTGTCCTTAAGGAATGTATAGTTGGCCTTAATTTATTTGGAAGGGGATATGCATGCTTTGCGGTAGGAGGTAACTTGTGGGAGGGAGTCTGCTCCCTTTTCCCACCGTATGCCACTGAGGTATCAAACTTAGATTATCAGGTATGACAAGCAAGCATCTCTATGTCTTGAACCATCTTGCTAGCTGGGAACTGATATTTTAATGGATAAGGTAGACAAATTTTAAAAGGACACTGGTTTTTATAAACGGGGCCTATAAAATTGACATATGAGACCTTCACATAAGACATTCTGGTTTTCAACAAACAGCGAAATTCTCCCAAGGATATGCTGAGGGGTGTTTGTGCACTGTGTGAAGATGCATTGCTGTGATTGGTGGAATAAAGAGCTGAACGGCCAACAGGTAGGCAGGAGGGTATTGGCAGGACTTCTGGACAGGGAGAGAATTCTGGCAAGAAGCAAGGCAGAATCTCCAGCCAGATCCAGAGGAAGCAGGATGGACAGGACGGAGATGAAGTAATGAACCACGCAGGAGACCATAGATTTTTTTTTTTTTTTTTTTTTTTTTTTTTGGTTTTTACGAGACAGGGTTTCTCTGTATTGTTTCGGAGGCTATCGGTCCAGCCTGGCCTCGAACGCACAAAGATCCGCCTGCCTCTGCCTCCCGAGTGCTGGGATTAAAGGCGTGCGCCACCACCGCCCGGCTGAGACCATAGATTTAAAAACACAGAGTAGTTTAAGTTAGAAGAACTAGTCAGAAGCAAGCCTAAACTAAGGTCGAGCATCCATAATTAATAACATGTCTCCAGGTCATTATTTGCGGGCCAGTGGTCCCAACGAGAAAGTGCTACTACAAAGAGATGTGCATATTCCTACCTGTGGATCGTAGTTGGAGTGAATGTACTGCAAACGGCACATAGCAATATAGCAATGGATCTCTCTCCTTCTGCCATCGTTTCTCGGAAGCATCTACTCTGCTCTTTTATGGTAGGTTCTGAGTCAGAATCCTTTTTTTTTTTTTTTTTTTTTTTGGTTTTTCAAGACAGGGTTTCTTTGTATTGTTTTGGAGGCTGGCCTGGAACTCACAGAGATCCGCCTGCCTCTGCCTCCTGAGTGCTGGGATTAAAGGCGTGCGCCACCAACGCCCAGTCAGAATCCTTTTGAAGTGCTCCACAGATTAGAATGATGGTTGAAAGCTTATCCAGGTTTTCCGGGGTATACAGTGACTACTGTGGTGTCACTTCTTTGGGGCTGTGGAGCAGTGCTTGGGGGAAGGGCAAGTTTGGGGGTGTGGAATGGCTCTGGAAAGGCTTCCATAAAAAGTGATTTCTGGGCCGGGCGTTGGTGGCGCACGCCTTTAATCCCAGCACTTGGGAGGCAGAGGCAGGCGGATCTCTGTGAGTTCGAGACCAGCCTGGTCTACAGAGCGAGTTCCAGGACAGCCTCCAAAGCCACAGAGAAACCCTGTCTCGAAAAACCAAAAAAAAAAAAAAAGTGATTTCTGAGTTAAGTGTAAGGTAGCATGTGGTGACTGTGTGTCTTCTAGGCAGAGGCCCAAGTGTGTGGAAAGCCCCAGAAGAAAGCAAAGAAATCCAGTTCCTTCAGAGAAGTTGCAAGGGGGCGTAGTGGAACTCCCCAAGATGGTGGTTGCTTGGCTCGGAGGATAGCCACTCACGATGGCCATACAATGCCACACGGTTAAATCCTCTGCAGAGGGAGAGCTGTTTGTCCCCAGCTGCCCATGGCCAAAGAGCTGAGGAGAAAAGCAGCCTGAAAAGGTGAGCTAAGGTCCTTCAGGCCTTCCTGTCCCCTCCTCTCTGTCAGTTTCTCATCCTTCTACCACGGTTCTGGATTTGGGAGTAGGGAGGGGCCGGGACCTCCCAAACCCTCGAACTTCAAACCCGGTTATTGTTGCACTGTTGAACTTTTAACTCCTGACCCGCTATCTCAGAACAGTTCCCACAAGACGCAGCCTGAGAGACTGGATGGGGAGTGGGGCTGACAGTTGCTCTACGGCAATCGGCTCCTTCTCATTAGCTTTCCAGATTCCCGAGCCCCATTTCCTGCACTAAGAACTGAGAACAAGAAAACTTGCCTTCACTAAGGGCTTTCGGCACCCTCGATGGTCGCAGTGAGGGAAACTTGGGCCCCATCAAAACCCAGTAGCTCTGCCCGGGGTCTTTTTAAAGAATTACCCCTTTCCAGGGGGAGAAACCATTAGGTCCTCTACTGCTTATTACAGTCTTCAACTTGAGGATTGTGACAAAGCAAGTTTGTGTACAGGAAACCACCACTTCCCTTTTCCTTCAGAGGGCCTAAAGTCTTTTTGATCATAGATAAGAAGCCATAAATAATTACATAAACAATTACTCAGCCTTTGCCTTTTTTTCTCTCTTAATCCTGTAATGATACTTTAGCAATAACATCAACAACGACACCTCCCCTCCATTCTCACGGTGAATGGAAATAGGACAAAAACTTAAATACACTCTTTGCTTTTAAGAATTCCCTTCACTGTGAGATTCATGCTGGCTCCTAACTTGCCGGCTGTGCCTGAGTGGGCCACTGGAGACAGACGAGCTTCTCTCATCCAGCAGAGAATATAACCATTTGACAGGTTATGACGGTCTGTTATGATAAAGTGCGCAGCGGACCTTGGCAGATTCCATGGCGGGGGAGGGACAGACATGCCAAGCAGACAGAGCTTAAGTGAGAAGTTTTATTAGAAAGGGAAAGGAGGGGAGAAAGGAAAGAGAAAAGAGGTAAAGAGACACAGAGACAGAGAGAGGACAGAAGAGAAGAGGGAGACAGGAAAAGTCCTGTCTGCCCCAGGGGACCATCAAGAAAGAGAGCATAAGTGAGCAGGGGTCTTTCTTTTAAAGGGCCCTTTGCATCTGCGTGTAGACTACTGTAGCCATGGAACCCCGGACTGACCAGGGTACTGCCTGTCAGGTGACAGAGGCAGGCCAGCATAATGCCTGAGTTCTTATACTCTGTGTTTGACTGTTTGGAGCCAATCAACCGCCATCTTGAGGAGTTCCGCTGCACTTCCTTTGTTGAAGATCATCCAGCTAGGCTGGTTGATGGTTTACATCCTAGCCTCCAGGTGCAGAGTAGGGAGAGCATGAGATTTTTCTCCTGGGCCATTTCTCTAGCCCCATACTCTGCATATCTGAAGCTGGCCTATTCTACATAGCTTTCCTGTGGGAAGTAAGAACAAAAGCATGACCTGTCAATGTGAGGGATACATATTTGCCGTGTAAGTAGTGATGGATTTAGAGAGTGTTTGGCGGGAAAAAGGAAGTCATTTCATCATGGAGAATAATAGAGATTACCATTAAAAGAAAAAAAGTCAGGTCGTGGTGTCCCACGCCTTTAATCCCAGCACTCAGAGAGGCAGAGGCAGGTGAATCTCTGTGAGTTCATGGCCAGCCTGGTCTATAGACCAGAGTGAGTGCCAGGACAACCAGGGCTACACAAAGAAACTCTGTCTCAAAAAAAAAAAAAAAAAAAAAAAAAATGAAGAAGAAGAAGGAGAAGAGAATTTTCTGTATTTGAATAATTCAGAATAGTTGTTTGAATATTTGGCACCATTATTACATACACTTATATTTATAACTGCAGAAATAAGTATTTTCAATTTGAATGTTATACTTTCAAATGTGCTGTGGTACTAAAACTTATTTTACAAATGTATCAAGATGCAAGGCTCAATTCTGGAGAGCCTTTGTTGTAACGTTAGTCTTCCAGCCTGCCACCTGGGTCCCGAGCTATCTCAGTCCCTAAATAACACATGAAACACTATATTAATTATGAAGCTGTTGGCCGTTTGCTTCGTTTCTTATTGGCTATCTCTGACTTAATTATTAATCCATAACTGCTAATCTGAGTATTTCTTTCTTTTTTTTTTTGTTTGTTTTTTTCGAGACAGGGTTTCTCTGTGGCTTTGGAGGCTGTCCTGGAACTCGCTTGGTAGTCCAGGCTGGTCTCGAACTCACAGAGATCTGCCTGCCTCTGCCTCCCGAGTGCTGGGATTAAAGGTGTGTGCCACCAACGCCCGACTCTAATCTGAGCATTTCTATGTGGTCTTCTCTTACCGGAGAAAGGGATCCAGACCTCTTACTTCTCCCGCATCCTACATCAGGACTGACTGAGCCTCTCTTCCCCAGAATCCTTCTCAACACCTAGTCCCACCTATCTTGGTTCCCTATTGGCCAACAGTGCTTTATTTAATTAACCAATACGACAACATATACGCAGAAGGACTTCCCCATCACTTTGTGAAACTCTTTTGTTCAGTTAGGCTTAGCTGCCCCATAGTAGTAAAGTTTACGGGACCAGCCCCACCTCTGTGCCTCTAAGCATCTCTGGGATGCTTCTGCACTCATCCGTTTATTACTCTCTCATCCTACCCACATTATCAGACGCCTACAATGGACTGAGCCATTGTCTCAGAAATGAGGAATTCAAGATGAATGGGGCAGATCTTCACTCTCCAGGAGGGAGAAAACCAGTAAAATGGAATGCCTCATGGGCTCTGACACAAGTGTGGCCAAGTGAAGGGGAGGAACAACAGAGTTTGGTCCTGATTGACAGGAGCCTGGTCCCCTGGGTCCTTCTAAGATGTAAGGAGCAACTGTCATGAAAAGAGCCACACAGTGAGAGTCACAAGACCTCCATTTGGCTGTGTCTGGCTACTTATTAGGTTTCTAATTCTAGGAAATTCACTTCAACTCCTTTTCTCCTGTTCAAAATAATAATAATAATAATAATAATAAAATGAGTTAATGAGCAGGAAGAACTATTACACACACACACACACACACACACACACACACACACACACACACACAAGGATGCTCTGTGCCATTCCAAGATTGGCCACTACTCATTGTAGCTTCATAATGGGGGGAGAGAGCTAAAGAATTGATACAGGACTCAGGTGGATAAGGAAACAAACAAAAAATAAAGACACCCTAGAGCTGGTACACGCCTTTAATCTCAGTACTTGGGAGGCAGGGGCAGGCAGAGTTTGAGGCCAGCCTAGTCTACAGAGTGAGTTCCATGACAGCTAGGGCTACACACAGAGAAACCATGTCTTGAGAAAAAAAATCAAACCAAACTAAAGGCACCCTAGACAATATGTTCAATCAGATTTAAACCAATGACATAGAATTTGGAATAGGAATAAAATCTTTCTTTTTTTTTTTCTAAAGAGCTGTTAAACATTAAAATCAGGGTTGGCAGGATGGCTCAGCAAGAAAGGGTGCACGAAAGCCCAAAGCCTAGATTCAGTCCCCGGAACCCACATGGTGGAAAGAGAGAACTACTCCAAAAGTTGTCCTCTGGTTTCCATGGAAGTGCTGTATCCCCTGATAGAATGACCAATATAGGGAGGCTCTGGTTCTTCCCTGGGAATCTTAAAAACAAGAACAGTGCTGCTTTCTTGAACAGTGTGACATTCTCAGTGCAGTATAAACAAAACAGAGCTGAAGTAGAAGAAATACATGGATGATGCTTGGTGCAACTTGAAGCCATCCCTTCCGGAGACAACAGAACTCTGAGAATCACATTGGAGTCCCACTCACTCCGTGGATGCGTTAAATGGAAAAGGCATCTTCTTCATGTTTTCACTGTTCCTTGTTCCTTTGTAACTTTGGGTGTTTTGTGACATATCTGCATAGGCTAAGGACCATGAAAATCATTTACTTCAGGACTAACCTAACATAGAACTATGTTTCATAAACGCTTCAGTGCTCCGTTCTTGGTGTGGTCAACAGTTCCATCCCAGTGCTATCTAGAGTGCTACATAGGCCTGGTCAACACCAGTCCGACCTACATCTAGAGATTAAAGTCTTTACGTCAGCAGGGTGTGACTTGGAGATTCCTTACACGTGTTTGACAGAAAACCTCAAACATTGAAACATAAGGATGACCCTTAATTTTATTGTTTTCCAGATGCCATAAAGTGAACAGACCTTTCAAATGGCCAAATACAGACCTTGTTCAAGAAGACAAAGAATGGTCCTCCCGAATGACCCTGCCTACTGCAACTGTTCTGGAATGTTCTGATGGATCTTCTAGTTCCCAACAGTAATACTGGAGTCAGACCCATTCCTGAAACAACATTGCTATTTCTTAGATATCTTTCCCATCTGGTGATACCATAGCTTGGAGCATGGACTGATTTTCCACCCTTCTTCATTGGAGAGTCTGTCTTTGTGTGTAGCCAGCAGGGAACATGGCTGGTGTAGGAGGGAGTTTCTGTTGTAACTGTCTATTTTTAGTGGCTCATAAACTCAGTATTCCTTGGCCTAAAGCAGCACACGCTTGGTGTCAGCCCAAAGGGGAAGTTACTTTGGAAAGTTTGAACAAAATCTTCTCTGCGACTGCTTGGGCTGGTGAAGGGAGACAGAAATAAGTGGTCTTTGGGAAAAAAAAAAACAGGTCTGTAACTTAGGGTCATATGGAACTGGCTTCTGTCATCATATGGAGGATCTTCTACCAGAACCATGTTAGAGAAGCCACTGAACCAAGCATGTAGGATGCTCTTTTTTTTTTCTTTCTTTTTTTGCATGTCGGATGCTCTTAAATAGGCTATCTTCCAGCTGGGCATGGTGGCACACTCTTTTAATCCCAGGACTCAGGAGGCAGAGGCAGGCAGATCTCTGTGAGTTCAAGACCAGCCTGGTCTACAGAGAGAGTTCCAGTACAGTCAGGAACACTGTCTGTATACACAGAGAAACCCTGTCTTGAAAAACAAAACAAAACAAGGACAACAACAAAATGTTAACTTCTGGTCCCAGGAAAGAGGCAGCATGGAGTCCTAAGGTAAGGGTTGATAGGCAAGCTGTCAACTAGCTTCCTGTGGTTAAGAAAGATGAAGAAGAGCCTAACTCAAGCAGCTTAAGGTCTAGGGAGAAGCTGTTTCTCCAACTGTGTGACCTCAGGCAAAGCAGCTCTTCCCTGCCTGCTTCTCTGTCAAGTGAAGCAATGCTTCACTTAGGTCAAACTCAGATGCCATCAAGTGATGGACATGCATTTCTTCTTAAGAGGAAAGTACTTGAGTAACTTGGGGGAATTATGTTCACGTTTTATAGACATTGCTGGTGAGAAGTCATGGAGACCAAAACACAGGCTCTTCCTGGAGTCCTTAGGCGGAAGAACAGAAATGTGGGGTTTGAGAATACAGACACGTGGAGGAGCTCTTGTTTCTGAAGGATGGAGGCACAGAAGAGGTCTAGGCAAAAATGATGCTCTGAACAGAAGGCCCAAGGGATGTCCCAGAAATGAAGCCGTGCATCTGTGACAGCAAAGGAAAGTCACATTGGACCCTTTCTTCCATAAATGGACCAGAGGCCATTTGTTTACTTATTCGTCTATTTATTTCTTCAGCTAATATTTATTGAGTACCCACAAATTGACAGGTTTCCTCCTTGGAAAAGGAAACGCCTGGAGAAAGGCAGAGGTGAAGGAGGAAGGCTAGTGGGCTGTCTTTCCACAGAAGTCCCTAGGGCATGGAGGAGCTGAGTGACCCGAATGGATGCCAGGTCTTCACTGAGACAGCTGGCAGGGTGCCATCCCACCTACAGCCCTCTGTCCTCCCTTCCCATGGGAAGCTCTGCGTTCCCACACGTCCTCAGCCAGGAAGGTCAGTGCGGACACATCTGTGTGTGGCAGGGTGTGGCTGATAAGCACCAGCTGCGGGACCCTGCTTAGCCCGAAGCATAGCCTCTTCCATATCAGCTATAGCAGCAAAACCGCAGACTGTCCCTGAAGCTGCTCGGACCAGCTCCAGAGGAGGAGGAAAGAGAAGAGTGGCTGGGTTTCTTGGCAACTAGGCTTCCCAGACCTGGTGTCAGTGGCAGTGCTACTGGAAGTAGTGGAGGAGAGGCTTGGCCCCAAGAGGGAGGGGTATGGATGCTTCTTTTTAAAATTGTAAGTATTAACACATATTAGCTATATAAATGAGATGGACTCCCTGTGACGAACACACACATTACACTGCACATGGCTCAGCATGATATTCCATACGTGTACATACGTCGCACATCAATCCACTAGTCTTCTTTCACCTCTGCCTTTCCCTAGGCATTTCTTTCAATGTCCTCCCTCCTGCTAACTCTCGGCCTTCCAATCCCTCTCCCACTCAATGGATTCCCTGGTAATCTCTCTTCTACTCTCAAGTCATCTTTCACTAAACAGAGGACACAATAATAAAACTCTGGTGTGTGTGTGTGTGTGTGTGTGTGTGTGTGTGTGTAAAATCTGTACATAATAGAACTCCCATTTTTAGGAAACTCTGAGGTGGTGCCCCAGCAGCCGGTCCATGAATGAAACTTTGAATAACTAGGTTTTACTTTAGACTCCCCTGGGAATGAAAGTTATCATGAAACAAGCCGAACCGAGGATAACATTTCAGTGTCAAGCAGAGGAAAATCACATGCCCTAGGGAGCCATCAGGTTTCTTCTTTTTTTGTCCTCTGCCCGCACCCCCATGGAGGGAACAGGTACAAAACAAAGAATCAAGACGGGACGTGTCAGACTCACCACAATGCTTCTGTTCCTGGGAGACTGATCTAAGATGCAATAGGTCCCTGGTGGGGCAGAGCAGAGGGCAGTGTCTGTGGGTAGGGAGTGCTTCTTGGGGTCTCCAAGGGCAGCTCTACCTGGTCCTTCTGGTGCCTTTTCTTTTGGGAAAGCAAATGACCCTTCATTGCTTAAACTAGTGTTTCTCAACCTGGTTCCCTGTTAGCCTCTGATACTGGTGCCCCTCAGGGGGGGACTTTGAGGTTGGACTTAGACTTCAGTCACTTTTAAAGGTCCCTGGGTGGTCCTGATACGCCGCTGAGATGGACACCTGCTGATTTAAGCTCCTTCAAGCTTGCAGTTCATCATGAAGACAATGAGGCAATAAGGAGGTCCACGTGGGTTCTCAGGAACCATTCACATGGAAGAGAGGCAGCCTGGGGGGGGGGAAGGCTGGGGTGGAGGAGAGTTGGGGCACAATTCTTCTGCTCCAGCAACTTCTGCTCCTAACTCTGCCATCAGATGGTAATCTCTGAACTTTGGGTAGTGTTCCTTCTTGTTTTGGTTTTTAATTGGTGCCAAGGGGTTAGGTCTTAATCCAGATTCTGTGTTCCTCATGGGTAGGGCTGGTTCAGATACCACTGTCACTTCTTTCAAAGAGCCAACCTCTGTGCATGCATCCGCTGGCATTCCCAGACCCAAGTGATGAATGGGCATCCAAGCATATGTCCCAGTGGGCTGGCCTCATCCTTCATATCTGTGTCTGCGCTCCTTCCTCCCAGCAGATAAAGCAATCTCTAAGGCAGCTCACTAGGTTCTCAGCATATGTTTGGGAGGAGGGGAAGGGAGACTCACCAACTGCCTATTTTATAGTTCAAACCCACTTCTTAGTCAAGGGTGGGTGGAATGTTCCAAGAGTGGGGGATCAAGGGGTTTACGAACTCTCCTGCCACTTCAGGTTTAACAGCTTGTTCTCATGAAAGAGAAATAACTGCTAGTTATTTTTTTTTTCTTCAAGTTCAGGCCCTTTCTCAGAAATGCAGTTGCCTGTGGAAAACTGACACTCCCTCACAAGTCCTTAACAGCTGCCAGCCCCAGAGCAACAGTAATTACTCTCAGCCTTCTTGCTGAATTCCTGTGATAGTCCCTGCCAGGGGTAAGGAACAGATGCGATGAGCCAGGAGTTGTTGGAGCCTCACTCTCTGGGTGGTATCCTCTCCCTGTCCCTCGGGAGGACAGGCCCTAAGTCTTTTCCAGGCAGCCCTTCTGCAGTGAGTATGTGTGAGGCATCCCGTGTGGGTAGGTGGTGTAGACAGAGAGAGCCCAAGGCAAGCCACAGGTGGCTCTCCTAGAGTGCAAAGAGACTAGGCACAATAAGGAACTGAGCAGATGGTTCGTAGATATGCGCTTTGTCAAGAGGGACAGCTACCTAGAAGTTCATTAAGACACAGAAAATCTGCACACGTATAATCAGCTTTCTTTCTTTCTTTTTTTTTTTTTTTTTTTTTTTTTTTTGTCTGTTTGATCAGGGTCGGAGCTATAGCATACTTAAGAGGCTGTCTGTGACAGGCAAGGAATCCAGAGTTTCACCATGGTCTTCAAGCTCGTATGTTGCCACTATATATAGCCTGGGGTAACTCAGTAGGTTTGCATGGGCCTTAGATTTCTCATGACTGGGTACCTACCTTCCTCTAGCAATATTTTTACACTCCATCAAATTATTCATCAGTGAAGGTCAGTAACCCTCAAATAACATTATGTGGGGAACTAATTACAGTGATTAGAAAGAATAGTAGGGGCAGTTTCCAAGTGACTTGAACCTATGCAAATGCCAATTCTTTTATTTCATGGAGATTTGGCAGGAAGAAAGGGCTAATTGGGAAAAATCGCTGCCTCCTAGGTGTAAACTTGGTATCTGAAATGTCTCTCCCCTTGGCTTAGTGAGATTACTGAGATGGAGAATTCATTTCCTAACTCATTGGAGATTTTCTGTTGTCCTCTGTTCCTACCTCCATTTTCCTCTGGGCATAGTATAATCAACCCAGAGGTCACTTCTCTCAACATACCTGGAAAGGACACAGGCACAGGGACAGAGATGGGCCACTCAAGGCCAGAGAGTACATACTGCACCAGCTAAAAATGCAGTAGGTACATAGGCATGCCTGGCCAGAGTGCCCCTCCCAAGCCATTCCAGAGAGGAGGATCTAGCCAGTTCTCCCAGCTGGCTCTGAGATCTCTTACTCTGTGACTGATTTTGCCATCTGACTCCAGTGGACACACATGCCAGGGGTAATAGAGACATCTTTCAAGAGTGTGCTAATCCCACTTCCTGGAAGGGTTCCCAAACACCCCTCTTCACACTTGTACATTTGGCTGTAAACCTTTGTGTCAATAGTCTGAAAACAACCCTCAGTGTTACAGTAACATGGACTTCTACATCTTTCTAGAATGCGAAGGATGTAGAAACCATGGTTTATATACACCTTGCTTCCTCAGTACTGGCACTTGTTGCCATGTACCAATATATGTGTATATATGTATGTGTGTATATATGTGAGTCTGTGTGTGTGTAACTTCTTTTAGCTTTTGAGATTATAATTACATCATTTCTCCCTTTCCGTTTCTCCATCCAAAACTTTCCACAGTCTCTCCTTGCTATCTTTCCAGCTCATGGCCTCTTTTTTATTAATTGTTACACACACACACACACACACACACACACACACACACACAGAAACCCAAATGGTCAGTCCTGAAAATGTACATATAAGTAACAATCTATAGA